GGCTTTATCGTCATATGTTTTTTCAGGAAGCTGATATCATTTCGTCTGAAAGAGCCAAAATAGCCCTGTTGGCCAGGCCATAGGAGTAGTGATACTATGTTGTCTCCTCAGGCACGCGTAATGATTTTTGCGTGAGGGCACGGAGGTCATTTTTGAATTCTTCTAGCCAGCGACACCTGACTCAGGTGCTGCCACGCATCTGTCTCGTAGCTGTTGTCGGCGTCGCTGCCAGGCTGTTGCCCCCCCCCTCGCTAGCAGAGTGCAAGGACAGTCGATGCACAACAAACAAAGCTTGCACCCGCCCTTGCACTTGCGTGAAACCCTCATGAAAATTTGTCTAAATAGTCAGATCAAGCTTTACATTCTGTCTGAGCTTAAGACCACCAAGAATCCTTCGTATGAGGGTCAGACCAAACTTTTTTTTTTTCCCAAAAACGTCAGACGTGGTTAAAAGTTAGCAAGAGCCCTGATGGTATGAGAGCGATCCGGGAATTCTTCGCACTGCCACCTCCGAAGTCTTCAGCCAACTAAGCTGGCGTCCGGCACACGCTCACGCGTAAGGATGGTCGGAGGATCTGGAGGTCAGACAAATCTGATCGCTGAAGCGCAGACCAACCCGGCTGCGACAAACGAGGAGACGAAAACGATCGACACCGCTCCCTTGCACAACTGCTTCAGCGAATTTCTACCTCGGAGCAAGGACACCAAACATTGCGGAACGGCGACGCGGGAACTTCTTCCCAACCCTCTCAACCGGCCGCAAACGGCCACGATACCGCCCCGCACACCTTCTCCCTCAACACAAATGGATCAACCCCCAAGACTCCCCGTCCCGGCAACGAAGCAATTGTCTCAGCTCAATCAAGGTTTTTTTAGCATATAAAAAATAAAGACAAGTGCGTGCTTCGACGACAAAGACTTCTATACCTCGAGCTTCGAGCTGGAGCTGCTGGTGCAAAGCGCACATATTTTCCATTATTTCGACGAGAGTTACGCGGGACCTGCCGAAGACACCGTAGAAGCCACACACCTTCGATGCGCGCGGAGTGGCGCTCCCATACATGAAGGAGGAATTCATGAAGGTTTACCCCCATTGGCGCGACCCCAAGAAGAAGTGCACTATCGCGCAAGAAGAAGAGCTAGCGCGACGCGAGGCAGAGTAGCTTCGCCAGAGGAGCCTTGCCGAGGCGTGCGGAACGTTCGCCTGCGGCGCATGGGGCGCCGAAGAAGAGGAGAGCGCCTCTAATGAAGGAGGGTGGGGGAGCAATGACGGCTGGGGAACCATTGACACAGGAGGATGGGGCAACACCAGCGGCACTTGGGCAAACGCCGGTGGCAATTGGGGCGCCGCATCTGGCATTGAGACCAGCGGTTGGGGTACATCCGGCGGAAGCTGGGGCACTTTCCGCGAAGAACAAAGGGGGGGGAGAAGAAGAAGAAACAAAACCTCCTATTGTTCCCCTCGGTCGTCCCCTGCGCCGCCCTGCACCTGTGCTACCTCTGCCTGACGTGCAACCACATCGCGACCCTCGGGACACCATTATCTGGGGCAACGAGCCCTTCAATCCACGTTGCACAGTCTATGGGCCTGATCCCAAGCCGCGCGAGCCCACCTTTGTCCCCGGTACGATCCCCGGGACTAACATTCCCTTCTCCGACATTCTCGACAGAAAGTTTCTGGCGCTGATGCTAACGACAATGAATGAGGAAGAAGGAGAAGAGGCGCCAGCGGAACCTGCCCCAGCACCTGAAGAGGACCCTAATGAAGTGCGCGTGCTACATGTGCACCTCTGGACTTCGTGCCAATGACGACCTCTCGCACCAGCGCCTCGGTCACCCATCGCGCGTAACACTGAAAAATTGCATCGAGGCTGGCATGTTTGCGCCTGGCGCACTCTTGCGCCCTGACGGCATCGAAGTGAGAAGCACAACGCAGCCGCGCAACTACACCGTCTGTCCCGAAGCTGCGCTGAGTCATCAGCTGTTCCCCTTGCTGGAACCTGGAACCAATCGCTACCCTAAGCTGCACAAGGTGTACAGCGACTTCCTCGTCGTGGGCTACTGCGGAACCAGCGACGACCAGTACACCCTTACATCGGGAACCTGCTACGTCTTGATCGTGAACGTCGAGGCGCACAGCAGAGCGTACGAGGTCTTCTGCCTCTGGCTGGCGCACGTGCAGCAGCAGTCAGGAAAGAAACTGAAGATTTGGCAGTCATACAATGCATCAGAATTTTGCAGCAAGGAGATGCAAGACTACTTGGCGCAGAAATGCATCGAGCACCACATCTCCCTCCCCTACGCGCATCCACAGCAAGGTGTTGCCGAGCGCACAAATCGCACACTCATGACGAAGGTGCGGGCGCTGCTGAAGCAGTCTAAGCTTCCCCCGACGTACTGGACGTACGCAATGCATCACGCTGTGCGGGTGCACAACATACTGTCTACCACCGCCATCATCAGCAACTTGTCCACGCATCTGAAGTAGACAGGCACGAATGGCGACACCTCCATGTTCCGCGTCTGGGGGAGTATGGTGCAATATCGTCCGCCCACGTCAACCATCGGCAAATTCGCAAGCCTCGCGCGCTGGGGGATTCACCTCGGCATAAATCACAAATATAAGGCGTGGATCATTCTGAATCTGCTCAGCCAGAAGACCACGAACGCGCGCGACGTCATCTTCTACGAACGGCTCAACCTCGCCCAATTTTGCGAAGACGAGCAGAAGAAAACGAACCGCGTCTACGCCCATGACGGGCACAGCTACGCCATGCCTGAGGATGAAGCCGCCGCGGCCATCCTAGAGCAGGACACCAGAGGCGAGTTCACAGGAGGTGATCGCCACAGCAGCGACGATGACGACGAATACTCCTTTGGAGGGGGAGTCGGCGGAGCAGGAGGAAGCAACAGAGGTGCAGCACCGCCACCACCACCTGAACCGGAAAGTGACGACGATGACGTGCAGGAGGTCATCCCCCAACAACGCCACGACAGCACCATCTCAGGGCTGCAGCTACTACGGCTTCACGCCGCCACTTCAACGGATCCACACGTCATCGAGCCCAAAATTCCGCGCCAAGCACTCACGAGACCACATAGCAAGGAATGGCGCGAGGCGATGAATGCAGAAATCAAGGCGCTCGAGTCCCGCGACACTTGAGTGCTCGTCGATCGCGCTGCAATCAAAGGAAGAACAATTCTCTCCGGCAAATGGGTCTTCCGCTTGAAGACCGCAGCGGATGGGACGATCGAGCGATTCAAGGCGCGTTGGGTCGTACGCAGTTATGATCAGAGGCACTTCATTGATTTCGATCAGACGTTCGCGCCGGTTAGCCGTCACACCTCCCTTGAAATTATACTCGCCATCGCCGCCGTGCTGAACGAAATCCTCACCATTGCCGAACAACTCAAATTACCATGATAACCAATTATTGGACCCTTCTGGTATGGCAGCGACTCGTTGGTGTTGACGGGAGTTGGCCTCGCCCTCGCTCGGGCGAAGCCGACCTTGTTGGTCGGGTACGCAGAGGGTGCAGCCGACTGCTCCTAGTGGTTGTCACCGACTTCGACGAGCGGGTCGAACTGGGGGGACTGCTGCGAAGCCGTCGACGAGGGAGGTCGACGGCCGACTTCGACCAGTGTGGTGACGAAGGGACTCTTCGACTTGGGAGGGGCGCCGACTTGGTGACGCCGATTTAGTGAAGACGGAGTGTTGCGTCGACCTGGGCAGTCAACGAGCACGTACTGTAGTTGGTGGGCACCTACTGCCCAAGTCAATGCCGACTTGGCGGGAGTTCCGTCGATCAAGTTACACGGGCGACGAGGTTCTACGAGATGCGCGACCGTCGCCCATGAGGTTCTGGTGAAGCCGACCTCGGGCTGGTATCCTGAGGTCGACGTGGCTCTCCAGAAGCAACCGTCGACACGTGGTCGACTTGGGCACCTGCACAATGTGCGTGACTGTGCACGTCGTGCTCAATTGTCTTCAAGCACCTGCGGAGTAGATGCGCGCATGCGCGCTATTGTCACCTGCGGTTGCAGGCCGCTCTGCTGCAGCGTTGGCAAGCCGCCTTGGTGCAGCGCTAGCAAGCCGCCGACATGCCACACTGGCAAGGCGCTGCTCTGCAGCGCTGGCGTGCCGTCGACTTGCAGTGCTCGCAAGTCGCCGACTTTGCTGTGCTGGCGGTCACCTGCTTGTGTGCTAGCAAGCCTTGCATCTGATGTAGTCATTGTTGTCTTTGCTCTCATTGTGGAACCCTTTTGCTAGTGTAGCTCTTGTCAAGTTGCCTTGTGAACAAGAAAGTAGAGAGAACACGAGCAAACGTTACGATCACTCATACCACCCGTGTCTTCCCCATAATCTAGCTCCTACCGGTGTAGAGTAACTCTTCGCAGTTGAGTGCCTGATCATGCCACAATCCGTGTTGTTCGAACGAGGGCCAAGGTTACACAATTTCAAACATGTTGCCTCGTTCACTTCTTGCTCCTATTGAGCAGCACATACCTTGGGCACTCAGCTTCTTGGACACTGTCACCTTCTCCTGCTGCATCATCTTAGCATCTTATAAGACTTATAGGTATTACGACTGCCTATGAATACCTATGTGGTCCCACCACTAGCAATGTGAGCAAGGGATAATCCATAGATTGCAGTTACCTGGATACAGTGTGTTTATGTGATCCATCCAATGTTTGAGAAAATGTGCCTATACACGCCTGAATTCTTCTAGCATCATATATACGGGTGAGGGGTATATGCACTTAGCACAGGCTTCTCAATGTCAACCATATATAGATTGAATCAAACAGAAAGACAAGTGCAGAAGAAGGACAAGTGCATCTGCATGCACCTACCTAGAGTAACAACAAGCCCAACAGAGCACGTGAGAATTAGCATTCTCCTCCTCATATTCTCCTCATCCCTAACTTTTATTCTTCTTATCCCTCAGTGTTATTCTCCCCCTCTTTCCATTCTCCTCGACCCCCCTATTATGCTCCTAATGCCTCCTATGCTGCTCATCCCTCATCCTCTGGTCCTCCCTCTTCTTATGCTCCTCATCCTCTTTCTTATGCTCTTCATCCCTCCTCTTTTGCTCCTGATCCCTCCTCTTGTCCTCCTCCCTCCTTTTATTCTCGTCACCCATCGTCTTCTTCTCCCTTTCCTTCCTCTGATTATCCTCCTCCTTCCTCCTCTTACTATCCTCACTGTTCCTCCTATTCTCCTCATCCTTCCTCTTCTGCTGCTCATCCCTCATCCTCTGGTCCTCCCTCTTCATATGCTCCTCGTCCTCCCTCTTATGCGCCTCATCCCTCCTCTTCTGCTCCTGATCCCTCCTCTTGTCCTCCTCCCTCCTTTTGTTCTCGTCATCCTTAGTCTTCTTCTCCCTTTCCTTCCTCTTATTATCCTCCTCCTTCCTCCTCTTATCATCTTCACTGTTCCTCCTATTCTCCTCATCCATCCTCTTCTGCTGCTCATCCCTCATCCTCTCTTCCTCCCTCTTCTTATGCTCCTCATCCCTCCTCCTCTGCTCCTCATCCCTCCTCCTCTGCTCCTCATCCCTCCTCTTCTGCTCCTCATCCCTCCTCTTCTGCTCCTCATCCCTCCTCTTCTGCTCCTCATCCAGACTCCTCCTCGTAGCCTCCACCATTTCCACGTAAGCATCCGCGTCTCCCTGCAGCGGGGAGAGCAGGTCATCTGCCGCCAGAGCGCCAGCAGCCCTCGCATAAACCGAATCTGCTCCGTCATCCATGAGAGAGCGGATCGCTTTCACATCCGCGCTCGTGTGCGCGTCTCCCAACAGCGCCTTGCGTGTGCCCAGCATGCCGGGGATTGCAGCGAGACCGGGGTTCACGACGTCAGCCGTCACGGTGGACAGGTGCACGGCGACGAGTAGCGTACAGAGGAGCACCAGGAAAGCGCGAAGCACGGCCATTGCTGCTCACGATCGAACGATTATCTAGGTATTTCCTTGGGTGGCTAGTACTGATGAGGATGAAAGAAAACGCGTGCAGCTAAATACTGCTGCAAGCTCTGGTGGTAAGGACCTTCGAAGCGCGCTATTATTGCAGCAACGAGTCGCCGCGAAGGACGCTGGAATGTGAACATTCCCCACTTCTCAATCTCCAACCTACTGGTTACTCTCGTGTGCGAATCAGTTTCCTCGCAGGGATGTCCTCGCCTATACCCTCGAGGAACGGCAGCGATGAGTTCGCGACAAAGAGTTTGCGAAAACCAATGATAACTTCCTTCAGGTTACCCTCGCGAAGCGCATTGATCTGCCAATAATTACGAATCACAATTATCAGCAACGAAGATGGTTAGCATTTTCTAGAAAGGATATTACTAGAGCTAGGCTACACTTCCCAGCTAGTTTGTACTTAGTGTGATTATAAGTATATAAAAGATAATGTAATAAAAAACGAAGTTTAGATAACCACTTTAACCCACACACAAATGGTCACAACACCTAGAAGCGAATATCATACACTTGGAGTTGATAACATTTAGCCATTTCACTATTACACTGCGTCTCTTACAGATGGACACATGGGAAAATTAGAGTCTAAACGCAAAAAAATGCTGCCTTGATACACCTGAGGGTGCAATCAATCACTCCCCATGCACGAACCACACAAGATCAATGGTTCGCCCATGGCTGGTAAAGGCCACATCCATAGCCAGGCGCCGAGAGACTGCATCATAGCGCACATCCATGGCTGTGACCTCAGCCATTGCTGAATGCGGGGCCTTGCACGCATACGCCACCAGCTCCGCACCACCTTTCCCATGCAGACACACACTCACTCGCACACGCCTGCCGCTTGTCCCCAACCCCTCAGTCCCCCTCACTGCTGCAGCAGCCCCATGCACCTCGGTCTTGTTATGCGTGCTCGTGGGCTATGGTGCATGGCTGTGGCGGGTGTGGTGCTGCGCCGCGTTGTGATCGCCGTGGGGTGGAGATGCCGACGATGTGCTGCATGTGCAATCACTGCAGCACGGCAGTAAGCTTGACGCCATAAGAATCGGCTTCCAGTGCCTGCATATGTCGGACTGAGCGCATGTGTCACGGTGCGTGCACGTGTCACAGTGGGTGTACGTGTCAGAGTGTGTACAAGTGTTACACGTGGACCATGATCCGCAACGAGTGCATGACGTGCAGGCGTGAGCAGCGGGGGCAGCAGTGGCCGTGCATTGCATGGCAGTGACAACGTCACTTGAGCTGAGCATGTTCACAAGGCCGATGTGGGGCAAAGCACAGCCCCGGCAGCACCTGCTCACGGTGAGAGGGGAAGGCACGCATAGCCCTGGCGCATGAGGCTTAGATATGCGCCCCTTGCTGTTCTCACCATGAAGCTTCTGCTGACAGTTCTGGACTTTAGCTGTTCTGATTACGACCTGTTCATGGATACGTAATGTCGATGAGGGGCAACGGGACTAGAAGGCTGGGGCATGACAGTATACAACGTTCTGAATGGAGCCAATGTTCCAGCGCTTCAAAGTGCAGCCTCTGAGGTGCATCAAGAGGCAATTTGATGTGTACAACAAGTACCCTCTGAGGCGCATAAACATCTCAAAACCATCCATACGTGGTGCAGGTGCAGCTAGCGAGAGTGTACAAGGCTCACTTGGACAGGTGCGAGAGTGGGGATGTCAAAGTGCAGGCGTGTGAGCGACACACGTATGCCCTTCCACCCACACCGTGCTGTACCGCCCTCCAAAGTGTGGCACCTGGCCATCCCACCAGGTGCTCTGCTGTGTGCTCTGGGCAAGCCTGGCTGCTCCAGACCATGCGGTGAGGAGGGTGAGGGTTTCTTGCTGTTGGAGTGGGTCGTCTTGAATGCATGTGCAGACCTGCTCTAATATCTCCTCTGCATGGCACACTGTCAGAATAATATATAATTCTATATATTGTTTTATAACTGCCTGTAGTGTAGAATACTGTAGTCATATAACTTTCTGTTTGGTGGTGCACCTTTCTTCATTCTTGCCTATTTGTACTGCTCGCTCTATAGTGAACAATCTCTTTTGTTGCCAACTTTCTCCTCTCGACACTCTCGTTAACCCCCTTCCTAGCACCTAAGGTTTCCATGCCTCCTAGGTTCTAGAACTCTTTCAACATGTTATCAGAGTGGTTCCTATCCTAGGACCTAATTTTTTTCCCATGAGCCCACCGCATATCGCTCGTGCCATGGCGCTCGTCGCGGCCCCAGCTGTGCCCGTTCAGCCGCTCGTCGCGAATGTTGCGAAGTCGAGCGTGGCGAACTTGGCGCTGTTCGTCGCGGCCCCAGTCGTCGGCCCCGTCGCCTGCCCATCGCGCCCTACTGCAGCCTCGTCACGCCCTGTCGCGGCCCCGAGCGTCTGCATCGACGGTCGTTTTGGGGGGAGACGGCGGGTGTGGCGGCCGAGCTGCTTCAGTCGCCAAACGCGCCCCCTGCCCCGCCCTCCCGTCGAACATGCGGCTGCTACGAATGCAGCTGCCACGCAAGCGACGGCGAGCTGTGCGAAGGCGCTCGTCGCGGCACCTGTTGCACCCCCCGGTTACTCCCCCCCCTACCCGCGATCTCGCCAACGCCAACCACGCCCGCTGCCGTGTCTTCCGCTGTGGACGAAGGTGTGGCGGGGGGGGGGGGGGGGGGGAGGGGGAGGCGCGAGGGTGGTTGACGACACTCTGTTCGCTGCTGCGCCACACCGCTACGCCGCCACACGCCGTCCCTTCTCTCTCCCTGCTGCGCGTGCAGTAGTGGGGGGGGGAGGGTTTGGGGTGGCGGGTGTGAGCAAGAAGCTGCCGCCCCTCCTCTCTCTCTCACTGCCGCACGTGCCGCTGTGAGGGGGGAGAGTGAGGGGGCGACGGAAGTCAGGCGGTCATCTGTTGCTGTCGCCCGCTGCTGCCGTGGCACCTCCAGCTGCCGCCCCTGCTACCACCTGCCTTTGCTGCCTTTGCTTCTGCTACCTGCTGCTGGGGCCTGCAGGTGCTGCCGTCGAGCCGCTGCTGTCCTGCTGCACGTTGCAGCCACAGAGCCTGCTCCTCAGGCGACATGCCGCCCCTACACCTGCGACTGTTTCTGCCTTGGTCGAGGGGTTGGTACAGCTGGTGTCAAATGTAATTCTATGCTTGTAGGCTACAGTGAGTAGCACAATAGGGAGTACAGTTGTTAGGGTTGCATATTTGTACTTCCACACTTCCTAGTTTGACCATTCCGTTGCATTCCTATTCTAAGATGGTACCACGAGTAGGTTCGATCCTCGTTCGGTCTTAGCTAGCCTCCGCGCCCTACGCGCCCTCCGTGCTCTCGCGCCATCCGCGCCCTCCGCGCGCCTAGCCCGCGCCCTCCCGCGCTGTCAAGCCCGTCGCGCGCCCTCCTTAGACCACCGCGCGCCCTCTCCCACCGTTACGCGCCCTCCTAAACCGTCGCGCGCCCTCCTTCGACCGTCGCGCGCCCTCCTTCGACCGTCGCGCGCCCTCCTTCGACCGTCGCGCGCCCTCCTTAGACCGTCGCGCGCCCTCCTTAGACCGTCGCGTGCCCTTCCCTCCGCCTGTCACGCGCCCTCCTCCGTAAATCTTCCTGCACACCTGCGTGCACTTACCGCACACCTGCGTGCGCTCACCGCACACCTGCGTCCGTGCACTTCCAGCACACCTGCGTGCACTTACCGCACACCTGCGTGCGCTCACCGCACACCTGCGTGCGTGCACTTACCGCACACCTGCGTGCCCTTACCGCCCACCTGCGTGCACTTACCGCATCCCTTTGTGCGCTTACTGCATCTCTCTCCCCTTCACCTGTGCCCTGGTCCCACACCATTCCTACTGCACTTGACTCCTGGCTCAGCGGCTGGCAGCCGCTCTTCCCTCCGGTAGCGCCACCTAGGTTCGGTTAGAGCCCCGCCCCACGACTATTTTTTCGCCGACTGTCTCTCGTCGGTTTCCCCGCTGGCGTCCCTAGCCCTCCGTAGTTTTCCTCCTCGTTCTTAGCTCCGCCTCCGCCGTGCTCCAGTCACCACTAGCATGGGCTCCGCTGTGGAGGCCCGTCGCCTCCTTTTCGATGCTGAGGGACGCCCGATCGAGTTCGGTACCTGGCAGCGCCAGACCACACGTTTTCTCACCAGCCAGCGACAGGATGGCGCCACTCTGTGGGCTCACGCGTCTGGTGCCCTACAGGCCCCCCCGTCCCCCGCCGCCCTGCCGAACACCCCGGAGCCGACTCCTACGGCCCAGGCGGAGTACGACCGTCGGGTCCTGGCCAGGGACGTGTGGCTCTCGCGTGACGCTGCCGCCGCTCTCACACTGTCGGAGCTTCTCCCCCCGACTGAGGCCGCCCACTTTGACCAGGTGGAGACAGCCCTGGGGGTGTGGGATGCTATTGTTGCCCGCTACTCCACCCCCTCCTCTGCCTCCCTCAGTCGCCTCCTCATGCCGTTTGTGTTTCCCGACCTAGGCTCGTTTGCGACTGTTTCCGACCTAGTGACTCACCTCCGCTCGCTTGACGCCGGTTTCCGTGCTGCCTGTACCGACGCACAGCTCCTTGTTGCTCCCCCCCCCATGTGGCTCACTGTGCACTGGTTTGTCACCCGCCTCCCTGACCGCCTTGCCACTGCCCGCGACGCGCTTCTTCAAAAGCACCCCACTGAGCTCACTATAGACCTCCTTCAGACTGCTCTCGGGACCATCGAGAGCAGCCTCCTCGCCGTTGCCTCCGCCACTGATGCGGTGGCCCCCCGTCTCTTTGCGGGATGTGCCGCCCCTCAGCTTCCCACTTTCACCTCTACCCGCGCTTCTGCTGCTGTGTCGGTCTCTGAGGACACCGCTGCCGTTTCTGCCGCAGACTGGCAGAAATGGGGCAAGAGTGGCAAGAAGGGCGGGAAGGGGGGAGGTGGGGGCAATGGAGGTGGCGGTGGAGGTGGCGGTGGAGGTGGGAGCGGCGGTGGTGGCGG